TGGGAGGGAGGAGAGGGTGGGTGATGGGTACTGAGGAGGGCACCTTTTGGGATGAGCACTGGGTGTTGTATGGAAACCAATTTGACAATAAATTTCATATATAAAAAAAAAATACCAACATTTTTCACAGAACTAGAACAAATAATCCTAAAATTTGTATGAAATCACAAAAGACGTAAGCTAACAAAGTAATTTTGAGAAGGCAGAACAAAGCTGGAGGTATCAGATTTCAGGATATGCTACAAAGCTGTAGTAATCAAAACAATATGGCACTGGCACAAAAATAGACACAGGGATCAATGGAACAGAATAGAGAACCCAGAATGTAACCCATGCTTATATGGTCAATGAATCTATAACAGAGAAGGCAAGAATATTCAATGGGGAAAATATAGTCTCTTCAAAAGATGGTGTTTGGAAAACTGGACAGCTACATGCAAAAGAATAAAACTGGACCACTATCTTATACCCTACACACAATAAACTTAAAATGGATTAAAGACCTAACTGGGAGACCTGAAATCATAAAACTTCTAGAAGAAAACATATGCAATAATATCTTTGGCATTGGCCTTAGCAACTTTTTTCTAGATATGTTCTTAAGCAAGTGAAACAAAACCACAAATGAACCAAAATAGTCTTTCACAGACTAAAGAAAACCATCAACAAAACAAAAAGGCAACCTATTGAATGGGAAAAAATATTTTCAAATGATATATAAATCAGGGTAATATCTAAAATGTATAAAGAACTTATATAACTCAACACCAAAACAATAAATAATCTGATCAAAAATGGCTTTATTTTTTTTAAATATATGAAATTTATTGTCAAACTGGTTTCTATACAACACCCAGTGCTCATCCCAAAAGATGCCCTCTTCAATACCCATGACCCACCCACCCCTCCCTCCCACCCCCCATCAGCCCTCAGTTTGTTCTCACAAAAATGGCTTTAATTCTTTTCAATTAGTCAGTGTCAGAGATTTTGTGGAAATATTGGTGTACTTACACATTGCTGATGGGAATATAAAATAATACAGGAGATGCTAAGACAGTTCAAAAATTACTCAAAAAGTTGAAAACAACTACCATATGACTAATCAGTTCAAACCCTTAGTATCAAAAGAACCCAAATGTTCATCAGCTGCCTAATGAATGAGCAGGCTGAGACATATTCATCCACAAGGCATTATTATTTATCCATAAAAAGGATGAAATACTGATACATACAATTATAGAGATGAACTTTGAAAACATTATGCTACATGAAAAAAGTTAAACATAAAAGTTATATGTTTCATGACTACTGTTATTGATGTCCAAAATAGGTGATCTATTGAATCAGAGAGCGTATTAGTTATTGTCAGGGGCAAGAGAGACAGGAGAATAGGGAATGACTAATGGCTATGGAATTTTCTTCTGAGGTAACAGAAATATTTTGGAATTATAAAGTACTAATACTGCACAGCATTGAGAATGTACTTTCATCCACCCAATTGTACATTTTCAGTTTAACTGGGTAATTTTATGGTATGTGAATTTCGCCCCTCAAAAAGAAAAGATTAAATGAAAAAAGTGCTAAAAATGTTCTCTACATATGTATTTGTTGATCATTTCCAGCAAAATAAAGAAATATGTATGTCTAAGAGTAGGAAATGGTTTAAAAATTATGTAAATACATATTATGTAATGTTATATAATCATAATATTAATGAATAATCCTATTTTGTTTTTTTTTCTAATTTTTTTAACGTTTATTTATTTTTGAGACAGAGAGAGACAGAGCATGAATCGGGGAGGGTCAGAGAGAGGGAGACACAGAATCTGAAGCAGGCTCCAGGCTCTGAGCTGTCAGCACAGAACCCGATGCGGGGCTCGAACTCACGGACCGCGAGATCATGACCTGAGCCGAAGTCGGCCGCTTAACCGACTGAGCCACCCAGGCGCCCCTGAATAATCCTATTTTGAATGTGATTCTTATATAATGTCAATTGAAAATGGCAGAATTTATTTTAATATGGTATTATCCAAACTTTTTTCAAAAACATATATAGCAAAAGTGTATTAAGAAATGTATTAGAAGTTACCTCTACATTATAGAATATGAGTTTTGTTTATCTATTCCAAACTCATTTTAGTTTTTTCCATCAATAAAAATATATAAGCATTACTCATTATCTAATAAAAGTCATAAAAATAAAATCAGATATTACATTTTATAATTGCTATTATCACCATCATTAGTATATCAAATTTTTATTATTTGTTGCAGCATCAAAATATTCTTGTCCTAATATGTAGGCGTAATAAACCTGAGCCTGAATTTCTACAATGCCATAATATTCATTAACATTGTCACTTTAAGGTGAAATAAACAATTAAAGAACACATAAATGTGTGTGATGGTGATTGAAACTTTGTGAAAAATTTAAATGCTTTCAACTTGTGTCCTGAAGAACTTGACACTAAAAGAAACGAAATTCTCAATGAATATTAAAATCACTAACTTTCATTAAAATTGCCTGTCTCAGTCTCACCCCCCATGCATAATTCTTCACACACAAGTACACCAATATACATGCATATTAAATTATTCTCTTATTTGTGCACCATCTCATAAGTGGTAAGAATGTAAAGCTTCTCTTTTTCTACTTCAGTAAAGGTTGGTTTGACTCCTATACCAGCGTCTGTGTCTCTACTATGGTGCAATATACCCTTGGGAGACATAACAACATTGTTATTTAAAGATTCAATTCAGTAGTACAGACATCAAGAGATTTAGAGGTGGAGGCTTGCGCATATACATAGCATCAGGACGTTTTTTACCTCAACACTTGGACCAGATTTCATTCATCTGTCTTCTACAGAGAAACTAAGGTACTAAAGGACATCAAAAGTGAGACTAGTGACAGGATTGAATAAACTTGTCAGTACTGAGATAAATAGGAGCCAGGCTTTGAGGATATATGAATTGATTATTATAAATTCACAAACACAGGTTTGGTTCCATCCATCAATTTGAAGGCATTAATGCCATAAATGATTGGATTTTCTTTACAATGTTCATTTCCTCAATTCTCAGAGTACCATTCAGTGTAATTTTCCCTCACGATTATGAGTATGTATGTTATCTCCCTAACCAAACAGGAATCACTGGCCCTGTTGTAGCAGAAGTGAGATATGAATCATCCCCATGACCAGAAGAAATGAAGAGCTAGAGACTAGTTTTCAGTCATGGTCAGAACATTCTTGCTTTTCACCTGTCATCCCATTGTCTTGGAATGAGAATCTAATTTACTTGCTTCATTCCTAGAGAGATTTTTTTGTCACTATGCTTCTTCCATTCTAGATAGCAAAACCTACTTGGAGGAAACCTCTGTCATAGTGAGAGAACACTCAGGGTTGTAAAATAAGGACCATCCAGTGAGGAAACATGCTTATTGTCTATGGAGTTTGAAAATGAAAACAGACAATAGATGATAAAAAAGTTTACCTTATAAACAGCTATATTTATGTGTTAATGCTACTATTTCAATATACCTGTACATTTTCCTTGCAGAAAAATTAAGTTATAATGTATTGAAATCATTTAAATTGTTATGGAAAAGATGTGCTATGATTTGTGGTTATTACTATATTACATGGTGTTAACTTGGAGCTTTTACTGAGAATTTGGCAAATGTATTGAAGGTGGACTGAAATCTCTCAGGTAATATTAAACCATTAGAGTAATAACCACTAGAACTATCAAAAGGAAACACAAGGAAAATAAATATTTATCTCATAGAAGAAATATATTCTTAAGAATGGAGCACAAGTAATATCAGAGACAGATTTCTTAAACTCAATTTATGGGTTTGTTTGCTTTTGCTCATTTTCTACTTTCTTTTCTTGCATTGAGTCAAGAATTGACTATTCAAAAAACAGAGAAATAAATGAAGAATGATCCTATTTTCAACATCTTGACAACTAGTAACACTCATCAAATAAATACATTTTATTTATAATACATTTCAATAAATAATGCATTTAATAATAAATAATAATACATTTCATATAAATAATACATTTCAAATCTATCATACATATGCAGTAATCAAATGTTATGTGTGTGTAAATACATAGTATATATACATGGATATAATTTGTTGCAGATTTGTACCTCAATAATTTTTAAAAGAAACATGAAATATAATTATCTGTAAATACTAAGGAGAAATTTACAGCCCTCACAAAAAGAGACTTGTGACAATTTTAGTATGTAAGAAATCAAATTTTAATATTGCAAACTCCTACTATCCTTTATCTATAATACAAATTATAAGGCTTTTGAGAGTATTGCAATTATTAGCTTAAATGCACATTAATATCGCTATACAAGATATTGCGGATTAGCTAATGAGTTGCAACATATTTCAGTGAATTCCCCACTTTGCATTTTCCACCTTGGATGAATAAATTGAAAAATATTACTTCAGATTTTTCTATTAATTTATGAGTGGAAAACCATATCATCCCTCTAGTCTTGACTGATCTGTGATGACACCAGGTCAGTATTCAAGGAGTATTCTTATTAATTAGTTTGTCTTATGTTGCTTTGCTACTTCCAAAAAGTGTTGCTTTTTTTTTTTTTTTAATTTTTTTTTTCAATGTTTATTTATTTTTGGGACAGAAAGAGACAGAGCATGAACGGGGGAGGGGCAGAGAGAGAGGGAGACACAGAATCGGAAACAGGCTCCAGGCTCCGAGCCATCAGCCCAGAGCCTGACGTGGGGCTCGAACTCACGGACCGCGAGATTGTGACCTGGCTGAAGTCGGACGCTTAACCGACTGTGCCACCCAGGCGCCCCAAGTGTTGCTTTTTGAAGTATCTAATCTTTCATTCTCCTATAAGAAATAACGTAAAAGAGAAATGTAGGTTGGAAAAGTGCATAAAGAACACCTTGACATCTCTGACTCATCCACTATGCAACACAACATTAATTATCATCTTATGATGCCTGGCCATTCTGGGAGGAACATTAACATGTACTATACATGCAGATGCATCCACTGCGATGTGGGCAAGGGGGAATGAAAGGGCTGAATTCAATATTCATATTTAAGTGTGAGGCCCAGAGTGTCCAAGAACACTGGATGTCCATCACATATTCCTCCAGGAATTAACCATGTGGATTCTTTTCTAAAAAAAGTCTCTGAGTAAAGACCTATAAACACTGATAACTAAGGATGTCAACAATGGAGCAAAGAGGTCCCCAGGAGGACCAAAGTAAATCCTACCAATTGCTGAGACTCAATCATCACCTGGAGTTTCACATCAGCTTCAAAGACTTTTTATTAACTGTGAATTCATGCTCAAAGATTGCAAGATATTTGGCAAATAGATCCAAAATTAAAGATAAAAGATCAAGGTATAAAAATTAAAAAAAATTGAAAGTAATATCTTATGAAAATAACAGATATAAAACAGAATAGGTATATTTACATAAATACATATCTTCTTAATATACAACTCTTCATTATGATATATATATATAATAGAATGTGTTTACTTGGGTGAGGAAGAATATATGTGTCATGTCTATGTAT